ATCAGCAGTTTCCAATCCTTTGAAGCAGCTGCTGAACTCGTCTGCTGCAGCTTCTGCATATGTTGTGGAATCTGTTAACGCCACGGAAAAATATCAGTGCAGCTTCGAAGATCTGTAAGCTAGAAACTGAGGCTACTGTTCAAACTGCGCAGTCACACACTCTCAAGGGCACAAAGACACACAAACAGCTCAGTGGGAAGCAAGGGAAGCCCACAGGAAGCACTGTGTGTGTGTGTGTGTGTGTGTGTGGGGCTCTGGGCGGGATGCCCTGCACATCTCTGCTTGGAGCTACAGTCGGGAATGTTGCACACGCACTTAACACTGCCACTTTTCAGCCTTACCATCCCAGTCTCTCCAGGAGCTCCTGCGGCCGGCAGGGTTGAATGGGAAAGAAGAGCCCAGTCCAGAGACGTCCAGGCTCTGGATCAGGTGTCCGAGCCGGCTCACTATCCGGCACGACGCCTCGCCACCCTCCCGCAGAAACTCGTGCAGAGACATGAGAGCAGTCCGCAACTAACTCCTCTGTCATCCAGAGAGACCCCTCGCTGCACCTGCAAGGCGTCGCTGCACACTGTGATAGACTCCAAGAGGCAGCCCCCAAATGCAGGCATGGGAAAGGACCTTCTCGGCTGTAACGTGTCGGTTCACTCGGAATCAAGCCGGCATGGGCTCACATGCATCCTCTGAGGAGAGGTCTGCCCCGGCTACATTGAAGACAAGTCGGTTTCCTCTGCAGTGCCACCAAATAGGGGACTCAGGACACAGAGAAAAAGAAAAGAAAAATAAAGCTGAGTCACTGTCTGCACAACCTCTGAAACCAACAGCGTTCACACAAAAAAAAAAAAAGAGGTGAGAACGGGACCCAGCTCGGCTCTGCAAAAACACAGGCTCACTCTGCATACCTCGTCGTGAGTATTGACGTCTCACAGTAGTGTGGGTTTCCAAGGGAGGACGGGGAGGGGAGGAGGCTGGAGGTGAGCTGGAGCAGAGGGCAGCCGGTGGAGCACAAATCCCCTTCTGCTGCTCAGGCTAATTATATTCCCTCCACTCCTTAACTAATCTGCCTTTTCTCTCCCTGGATCCTTTCATGCATTCATCCCTGGTGAACCGGGAGAGCACAGACCTTTAAAACCTTCCGACACAAACTTTGCAGTGGACACAGACTTGGTTACTGAGGGGAGGAGCAAACAGGGTCCTCTTTGATGGCAGAGTGGAGGAGGTCGATGGCAGGCTATTGGGTATGTGTGTTTGGCGAGCAAAAGGCAGCTTGCAGTTTACAGGCTTAGAATAGCGATGAGAGAGAGAGAGACACACTGCACTGTGATGCGGCGATTGCAGGACAACGAGGCACGCAACATCTATCCGTAACCCTCCATCTCTGTCTCCCAGCTCTGCCCCCCCACTTTAGGTCGAATTTCTTATTATAGTATCACACTCGTCCTTTGTGTTACTTCATCTGTAGCCCCTCTGTACCGTTTTCCTGCACACCATATACCTGCCTGCAGATAAAGAAGCACGCCGAGCTCATATGTCTAAACATGAGCATATCCTGCTGATGACAATGCTAACATACTGATGTTTGACATGTAATGTAATGTTTAGCAGGTATAAAGTCCACCATCTCAGTATTGTGTTAGCATGCCCACATTCGCTTATAGGAAGCAAAAGGCCAAGAACAGAACATTCATTTCCTCGTAGACAAAAGCACTGGACGAATAGTGGCGCTAAAGAGATGAAATACAATCAAAGCCACCAAAGCCAATGAGATGCATCCTCTTGCCACCATGGTTATCGTTACCTAGCTAGTAGTTTTTAAAAAAATGTTATCGTTTCGGTTATTTCCATCTAAACACAAGGATTACCAATATAACCATCCAGCAGATGAATAAGCATTTAAAATAAGGCCTTCAAATTATTCTGCAGGCAGATTAAAGTACATTAATTTTGATAGTAACAATACATACATTGGAACTACACTTCACAAAATGTATGGACATAAATTAGGATTGCTTTATTATTGCAGCTGTATCTCTATCTCGGGCACTCGCGTCTCTCTGACCACCTTTGACAATTGGTGACCTTAAATCCATCCAGCTATCAGTCTGGTATGCTTTTAGTGATGAACCACACAGCTCACCTCGGCAGTTTGAACCCCTGACCTCGAGCTAATAAATACCTTGACCCTCACATTACGGTGACAATAAAGTCTTGCGTATATCTGATTTATAAGCAAGCTTCCTTGCTGTGCTTTCAATCTAAAACAATGCTTCAGGGTGGCACCTGATCAATAACAACTGACTGAGATCGACTTTAGTCATGAGACAGATGGGCTGCCTGGAGCTCAGACATTTTTCATAAACCTCAGCTCCTGCTGGGTTCAGTAGCAAATAGACACTACAGTCTCGCCCATACAAGGAGAGGGGTGTGAATACATATTGGCCATGCATCTGCACACAATAAAACACCAAACACAACATATAATACGTCGCTTCTGCACAAAGAAATAATTCAACGGCAGCAGAGGAACATATTACTGCTGGAAAAGCTGAGACCTGGGACTCACTGAACTGGATGTGCCCCTTTAAATCAAGTGGAAGTAGGTCAAATGCTGAGTCCAGGGGAATGCATGTTTGAATAGGGCTGCAAGTAAAAATTATTTAAATTTCACTGGAACGTATAATATGGTAAACTAAAAAGTACCAGAGCAACCATACCTCTATAACCATACCAACTATTGGATCAAATGCCATCAGAATTTGTACAGACATGAATGGTTGCAGGAGAATGATGCACACTGAGATTGGTGATTCGCTGCCTTTTTCTGAAGTTTCAACATCCTTTTTGTGCATTCAAAGATTCCAGCCAATGCGCCCTAATGGCTTTGGCGATCCTCTGAATTTTCCTGTTGAGCAGCTTAACTTTTTTTGTTTCATAGCGAAATAGCTCAACAACTTTGACAACATTTTGATTTTGTAATACTTCAGTTTAGGATAAAATACCCACATAAATGACATTGCCATCAACCAAAGCTAGACATCCATGTTAAATAGTGATTAGCAAATATTGCTAAGCGCGCTAAACTGAGATGGTGAACATGGTAAGTATTACACTTCATGTTCTGTCTGGAGAGAGGATGTGCTAAACAGCTTTGCTCACATACTGCTGACTGAATGACCACAATGATAGATTGGATTCCTGCCACTGATAAGAAAAGGAAAATACAAGCGGTCACTTTGTGGGATGCAAAAAGATTCTCCTGAATTGATATCAGTTTGAGAATATTGCATGTTCAGAAATGTCCGTCAGACAAGATCTGTTTGCCTATTTTTCTCTGGGGAACAAAGAAGTAATTTGCAACATGACACCTCTTTTTAAGCATGTCGAATGCCGCCTTTTGTCAGTTTAGACGATGAATCCTTTTCATCCTCAGTTGACTTTGCTTTCCCAGAGTTCCTCTGAATCTCCGATTGTCTAACTCTCGCTTTGCCCTTCGTCTCTGCTGTCTTCTGTGATCAGTGTTAGTCGCTCTGAGCCGATTACGGCGCTCATCTTCTTGCCACAGCACATTCCTGTCTCATTTTCTACAAAGTGCCACCAATGATTGCAATCTATGTAAGTTTTACTATTATGTCACTCAATGCCTATACAAATGAAAAAATATTTTTTCTTCATCATTTGTTTAGCCTTGATTCATGTAGCTCATAATTTTTTTTCAGAGCTGTCAGTTTTCTTCCTCTGGCGCCGTTGCCATGCCCCCTCCTCACACAAGTCCACCCACTCGCTGCTGCCATACTTCACCATCTCTGGTGCTAAGAAGGAAACGCAACTCAAGCCCACTCATGGGATTGTAGCAGGAGCCTCATTGTTATAGTAGATTTGAAAAAAGTACGTAAACTGGACAATGTCACAGTATCAGCGTGTAATACATTATTCCTCTTCCCCCTGCATCCATTCTGTAACTGCACATACACAAAAATACAGCTAAAAATAATCATGAATACCCCATGTGTCACTTAATAAGCAGCTGTGGCCTCTCCAAATCCAACCAACATCCCTGATCTCCATTGAAACAAGATCAGCACAACACAAAATGAAGGGTGCACTGTGCACAACTGTGAGAATGGCCATGTGCAGGCAGTAATTGGATTAAAGAAAATCTCTAAAAGGGATCAAAAAGGAAACAAGAAGCAGACATAGCATTCATCTTCAGTGCATTTGTTAGATTAATGAGAGAAATCTGTCCTTTGGTCGGTGGCAAAAAATCATAAAGCTGGCGCAGCAATGTCAGAGCATCACATGTACAGTCTGGAGAAGGGTTCTCGTGTCAACCCAGAAAGGAACTGAAATAGCCTTTTATTTCATGACTGCGTAATTATAGACATAAAATGTTTCTGTGAGGTTGCTTTGATTACTCAGAAAATATGAAAGGCCATGACTAAACACACAAGAGTCTGGCACAAAACGCATTAGCAGAGCCATAATAGTGGAATATAAGAGGTGAAGTGACTACATAAAGACAGTAATCAGTCCAGGGTTACATGGGGAGAGGAAGATATATCCATATAGACAGACAAACTTTAACTCTTTAGGGGGGTATACCAAGAAACTGTATCCAGTATCACAACACATCCCAGCCTGTCCTTTGCAGTATATCATTATTTAAATATTTCAATCAATTTCACAGAAAAATGCACCCTACCTCAAGGCAGACAGCATGAACGGCAGGTTCATGCGGCTGTTAAACCTGGTTCGGTTTCCAGCAGAAACAAACATTTGTAGCGTATTGACATGACAATCCTGTATTTTCCTTAACACACTATCGTTTCATTTTTATTTGGTAGATTTAACCAAACAAGAGATGCAATATTGCCCCTCGCTGTAGCTGAATACAAATTAGTATTTCACCTATAATAATGTTTCAGAGAGCCATGCATAATCATTGGCAATGAAGAATAAAATGACATGGGATTATTGTTGTTAAGTGTCTTGTAGTCACCAACCTATGCTTTGAGTGACTGTCCTTAGCCTTTCCAGAAGCTCCCCTAGGGCCATCTCCTCCGTCTTCATCCATAGGATCATCCTCCAAAGGGCCAGTGGAAGACCACCTGCCCAGCCAACACACACCTGTGCAGAAAAAAGAGACAGCTTGCCTGCTTTTTCCCGACTCGCTCTACGACAAGCGGATGGTGGTGAAGAGGACGAGAGACGGGGACTGTTGTGGTGGTAAGCTCTGCCGAGAGGAGGGAGTAAGGATGCGGCCGGGTAAACTAGCCCGGGATGAGAGTGCCTGGCTGCTGGCTTGTACGACACACGGTTGCTGGAGGAAAGAGAGCCGAGAGACGGGGTGGGTGTGTCGCTCAAAGCTGGAAGAACCGGGTGCTTTCGACGATGCTGCCGAGACTGACGGGGAGGGGATGATGCTGAAGCTGCTATGGCTGTCACGGCCCCAGCTGCACTGACGAGTCCTCCGCAGCGGGATGCAGAACGCAGGAGCCCGCCGATGGAGAAGGGGAGGAGGTGGAGCAGGAGGAAGCCTCATTCGCACATGCATGCTTCAGCCTCAGCACACATGATGGTGCAAACCTGTGAAGACATGGGGGAGGGGATTTGAAGGTCAGCAATACGGTTTCCCAGTCAGCTGATCCAACAGTGACATCTAGTGTGGAGGCAAAGCACAACAGCTGTGTCAGGACATTGTCATCGACAGAAACAACATGCACAGTTCTACTAGTCATGCATCCTTGATTATGCTGCAGTGCCACCACGTGACAGCACTAGGCTATGAAGACAAAACTGAGATCAACTAAATGAAGACAAAACTGAGATCATTGTATTTGGTGCTAAAAAAGAAAGGTTTAAAGTAACCCAACACCTTCACTCTCTGTCCCTGAAAACATCAAATAAAGCCAGAAATCTGGGGGTTATTATGGATTCAGATTTACACTTGAGAGTCACATCAAATCAGTAACAAAATCGGCCTACTACCACCTCAAAAATGTAGCACGACTTAGAGGGCTCATGTCAGCTCAAGACTTAGAAACACTTGTACATGCCTTTATAACTAGTAGGCTAGTTATAATGACTATTGTAATGGTCTCCTTGCAGGTCTTCCAAAAAAAACTGTCAGGCAGCTCCAGCTTGTTCAGAACGCTGCTGCTTGAGTTCTAACAAAGACCAAAAAATGTGAGCACAATACACCAATTCTTAAATCCTTACATTGGCTCCCAGTATGTCAGAGAATTAATTTCAAAATCCTACTGCTCACATATAAATCACTACATGGTTTAGGGCCAAAGTATATCACTGATATGCTTCCACTACATAAGCCTTCAAGATCACTAAGATCTTCTGACACCAATCTGTTAGTGATTCCCAGAGTAAATACAAATCATGGGAAAGCATCATTTAGTTACTACGCAACAAACAGCTGGAATAAACTTCCTGAAGATTTAGGACTTGCCCCAACTCTGACCACGTTTAAAACAAGACTGAAAACTTTTATGTTCAGCTTTGCCTTCTGCTAAATTTGACCTATATTGCACTTTTAACCTCTGCCTTTAATTAAACAATTTAAATAAGATTTTAATTTATAATTTTATTTGCTGTTTTTAATTCTTTAATTTTATTTCACTTTATTGTATGAAATGTTATGATGTGAAGCACTTCGAGTCTGCCTTGTGTATGAAAAGCGCTATACAAATAAACTTGCCTTGCCTTGCCTAGGCTATGAAAAACATAGCCTAGGCTATGAAAAACATAGCCTAGGGTGGGTGACTTTGGGTGACTTTCCATAACAGCCAGTTGTTTTTTAATTTGGTATTAAAAAGTTGTTTCTTTTAAAATTAATGTCATTTAATTAGAAGATACTGCACACAGTTGTGAAATTCCCACAGCGGTGTCAAGGCCGTGAAATGTTACTCCATGTCATTGGACATTATTTTACCAACCAAATACCATGAGTATGAAACATGTTGACAACTTAATTCAAATTATACTTAATTTTCTTTTAAGGTTTTGAAGTTTATAGCTAGGTCAACTGTTAGCAATTACAACTCAACAGCTTTTTTTCACAACTTGAAGGACAATTCGACAGAAACAACGGACCATGAGACACTAGACGAATAGTGGGGCTGCTATACTTTAGCCTACACAATTAGTTTGAAAGCTTTTGTTGAGTTGTGAAGAGGTTAATATCTCACCAGCCGGCCGCAGCCCATCGAGCAGCATCTCGAGGCTACGTTAGCTTAGCTGCTAGCCTACACTTCAACTGACGTTTCGGGACCGAGTTGAATTATGGGTAATGTATGAAACGAAGGTTTGGCAAAGAAGACGACTGCGTGGAATAAACATAATGCTGCGTGGAGTTTGAAAAATCGTACCTGTACATCGCGCGATCGGAATGATGCGCTACACTGACGTCAGGCCAGTGTTTGTGAGCTGCTGGCTGATTGACTGGATTGAGGCGCAGGTGTGCCGCGCGGGAGGATCACGTGACCGGCGGAAACTAGGAGGTCTAAAGTGATAAGAGGTTAGTAGACGTTCATGAGTGAAGGTAGAACAACCTACAGAAAAATTGTGTGGGATGAACACAGGAGCTACATTTTTTTAGAATGTTTCTTTATTACAAGCAGAAGGACAATGCAGTGCTCTGCCCCCCATTGCTACCGGCAGGCTGGCAGAGAGTCAAAAGCTGAACTTTTAAAATCTTTATTCGAAACAAAAAGTAAATTCACAAAACCTGTTTAGTAACACAAACAGTATTGTACTGAAGGTGTGATATGAAGCGTGCTGCTCGGTGCACAAAAGTCCACATTTCGGACCTTTGCCGAGCTCGGGAGTGACAGGATGAGCACCTGCTGTTCAACATTCTGATCTGCAGTAGAAGGCTGGTGCAATAAACCCATTTGAGACGCTACACACAGTCCGTTTCTAGTCAAGTTATTTGGTCACTTTTTTTTTCTCTCCGACTACATTCTTAGAAAAATAACTTATTACTATATAACTATAAGCCCCGTCGACAGACATCATACCATGTTTTAGGGGAAAAACTGATCTGTTGTAGAAGAAAGTGCAGTGTGTAGACCTATTGGTAAATCTCTAATGAATCATAAAATGTAAATGCTCTAATTTTGGTTACATACTTGAACAAATTCTAACACAGTTAAAATATAGTCTTCCATCTGGCATACAAACGTAGCAAAAGAAATTCAAAGTGGACAACAAAAAGTAGTCGAGAAAAAGTTGTGAACGACTCCAAAAGAATTCCCCATTACGTTATTTAAGTAAAATAGACCGTATCATTGTATGACTTGTATATGACATGTAGAATATCTCTGGAGTATGGCAACAGCACAGTGAGGTCAGACACTGCATAACAAGCACCAAGGCCCTTCTGTTGATCTACTGAGGTCAGGACGTTGAGCCCCCAAGTTCAAACACTGGTGGGCTTTGAGTGAAAACTGAACGAGACAAATCCAGACCTCCAACCAAACTTAAAAACATCATCTGTGCCCCAGTAAAAAAAATACAGAACACCTGTTATTAAATCTAGACATTTCGGCAGATGGTGATGTGTATGAAAATAAACTGTATAAACATACAAAATTGCTTCGGAATCTGACATTCAAGACTTCCAGAGTCAGTTACTTGCTGTGCAACAGGACAGGTATGCTTTGGACCAAAGGGACTTTGAATGTTAGAAATGCAGAAAAGTGGTTCATCCATAATGAGCAACAATCTTCAGCTGGAGGACATGATGGACAAATCAGTTCAACATTCTATTGACTTGATTGTGACATCGCCGCTTTAAGTCTCCCACCTACTTACAACCGGCTATTGAACATCCCTTCTCAATACAATATATATATGTATATATATATATATATATATCAAAAGTCTTTTTAAGTTACATCCATACATCAACAGTGACCACCACCAATACTTTCAGAACAATACAGAATAACTCATAGATAAATGCAACAGCGAGAGAAACCCCTTATAGTGTGACAACACTACGTTAACTTTTGCATAACACAGAGCGAGGCAGCAAACACACCAGCACGACGCAGTGGGGAGTAGCAAGTCGTTTAGGACACCCATGAATAAAGACGGCGCGAGTCCGAGGCTGCAGCTGTTACCCCACAAGACCACATCAGGGAAGGAGTTGGTTCAGTGCGCTCGTCTTCGGGAGGAAGAAAAGGGGTGTGATATGGTTCATGACCGATGATGGGCGATAAAGGAAGAACCGAGAGCAGATCAGCATGCTGCAGTGAGATCCGACATGCAGATGAGAAAAACAATCGTGAGGTAAAAAGGAAGAAGAATTGACACACTGTACCAGACACGCATATGCCCTCTGAACCTGTCCACTCGCAAACATGTTTCAACTGACTTAGAAATATAACCCACGAAAAATCAGTATCTATGAATTAAGGCCGGGTGGCTCGTATACTGCACATCCCTCTTCAGATATCCCCCATTTCCCTCCTTCGGCTGTAGTGTGTGTGTTGGTGTTTGTATGTGTATGTGTGTGTGTGTAAGGCTTTGTAATACATTGTTTCTACTTAATAATTCTTAACATTTTACACCTTTATCCTTTGGCTCCTAGCCTGCTGCTGTGTGGCTACCTGTAAGGCAAAGGTGTGTAACATAAAAACATACAGTAACAGGAAAATTCATGCATACACTCGCGCACATGCACACGCACTTAAAGGGCAAAGCTTGACAGCCCCCTTTACTTGGCCAGACCACAAACTGTACATAAATGTTTTCAACCAACATTAACAAATAAGTAAACAGTACAGTGAAGCAACAGGCAAGAAGGTGAGACTGAAAATTAGGACATGGAATACAAAAAGGCCCGACGGTTGACACGTTGAAATGAGACAGTTAATAGTGCGCGAAACAACACCCCCTTTTGTTCTTAGACTTGTTCAAGGAAGAGTCTGAGTAGGAACTTGGTTGTGACTAAGACATGGGACTACACTCGATGAATATGATAAGACCAAAGTATGAAGATGAGGCGGCAGGGCCACGATATCTAAAGGGTTGTTCACAGAAAATGCACATGGTGAGCCCAGCGTGGAGGTGGATGCGCGTGAAAACGTGTTTGTTTGTAAATCCTTGAACCCTTGATGGTTATCGACCTCTGTCACACAACCAGGGGCTGATGCACTTTATGTTGTCAGCCAACAAGATCCACATGCGATTCGGTCTCATGCCCGTGTTTGTGTTCACACGGAGGTCTCGGGCCCTGGGGCACAGAAGGCAAATCCCGCCCCTGAGAGGCGGAGCACGAAGGGGCTGAGAGAGCACAAGTCGGCCCCTCCACCTTCCGCCAAGTGGACCAGTAGTTTCTGAGGAAGGGGATCAGACCCGCGGAGCGACAGGGTTTCCGGGGCGCCGAGGTGGAGGTGAGAGGAGTCCGCGCTCGTGCCTTTGTAGGACCGACCCGGGGACAGTGGAGTCACCTCGGCCACACAAGCCCGCGACAGCTTCTCGTCATCCTGCGGAAGGACGGGGATGCATCGTCACAAGAAAGTACAAACCAAAGCAGCGAGAAAAGGGGAAATCAGCAGAATAGCACCATGCAGATCAAATCACGTGTGAATAAAGGAGAGATGTGAGACGGCCTGATGCATTGCATCGAACAGCATGGATTTATTCAGAAGGTTTTGATGGTTAATGACACCCTGTTATAGACACTCGGATCAAATTTACTAAACAAACAGTGTGGAATCTGGACATAAGCCACTGATCAATGATGACAAAACCATCTGAACATTCCCATTGTGATCAATGGCTGAGACAGATATCAAGAAGATATCAATTACAATTGCTACTCCATCTTCCAACACCAGATGTCCTCACTATTCCTGATACAAAATGATTCTTATGTGGAAACCTGGACTTTTCCACATAACATAACCTCAGTTACTAACTGAATGCTATTCAGATCTGTAAGCTATTAAACCAGCTCAGTCACCTCAGATTTCTCAACTAAACCTCCTGAGACCCAGAACCTTCAGTGTGACTTTAAACTCCAGTCCAGCACTGTCGAGGAGTCAAAGCAACCCCACTACTAAGTGACAATGGATTGTAAGTGGCCTGCGTCTAATAAAGAGAGGATACAATTGTTCAATTAGCTGCAACCCTGATCAAGTCAAATCCCATCCCACATGCAGTGAGAAGCACAGCATGCTTTGCAACCAGCACTGCAGAGCTAATTGGAGGTTGTGGTCCCTAAAAGTGGGTTTAACCAAAGGAAATATTTAGTTTAGATGCAGTGATCTAGCCCCCCCCCCCCCCCCCCGCGCCCCGACTCCCCAGCCTAAGCCATTTAAATGAAACATGCCCCATGCAGTGTGGAGCAGCAGGAAGCATCATTGCAGCAGCTTTAGCAACCCGACTCCCCACGGTAAACGCCCTCTGTGTGCCGTTACCATGGTGACCCTAGCCCACCTTGGGGGGCGTACTCCTGCGTTTGCTGGGAGGGGTGCTGTGTCAGTGTGACGTCATGGAGTCACAGTAGCAGCTTTTTCTCCACTGTCTCCCTCACAGGTCCTACCAGGGTGGAGTGGGTTCCTCCCCCTCCACCTTCTGCAGTGCCAGGAGCCACACAGCCCTCCAGGGCCCCCCGCTGTCCTTACCTTCTGTGGATGACGTTAAAGGAAAGCGAGGTGATAAATGAACCCGTATCCTGGTATACTAACTTGCCTCGGTGTGACGACTGCAACTTAAGTGAAAAACGATTTGAACTCATGTAGCATCAGAATAGGACTACTGTTGCTTCTTGGTATCATATTTGGCTTGAAAGCACATTTATTTATCTATACTTCATTTCTTTACACTAAGAATTTAACATTGCATTTTTCAGTGCAATGATTACACTTTAATGTTTACTGTGCATGGTCACTCATATCCCCAACCAACTCTGCATGCGACTTCAGATAAGAGAGGCAGGAGTGATGGGATTTGGGCTTGTATACTAACTAATAATTCATCAAAACAAAGAATAATTCATTCTTCAGTCAGATTTTTAAAAAGAAATAATGGTAGATAAGAAATATCAAAGAAAGAAATTCTGCAAATCCAACTGCTTGGCTGACAAACAATTTAAGAAGAACTGTGATCCGCCAAAACTGTTTCAACAATAAATAATACGGGACAAAATGAAAAACAATATAAATCATGGCATGCAATTTAAATATGTAAAACAGTACACAAGGAACAAAGCACAAAGACACAATGGCAAGGGAAAAAATGGCAGAGAAAAATACATTTCTAACCTTGCTTACACACAAAATGCTGCGTCGCTATTGTTATTAACAGCGCCCTGGTTGTTAGTTTGACATGGAGCAATGCGTAGGAGACTTTAATAAGGGGTTTACACTGAGACACACCATCATGCACACAGAGATGAGGCCTTAAAAGAGAGTCACCTCCTCTTCCTGCTCCTCTCTGGTCTCTCTGGGCCAATCAGAAACTCATTCTGCTGGATGACTGAGAAAGCATGAAGATGGTGGACGGCTCCACAGTAAGGCACGGGCGAGTGGACTGCAGTCACCCCGAAAGAGCAAGTGTGTGCAGAGTGCAGAGTCACGGGAGTGCGGGAGGGGTTGGCATCACAAGAGAGAAAAGAGTGATGCAGACGGACAAAAAGGAAAGGAGGAAAAAGGCGGATACGGCAGGTGAATGCAAGGAAAGGGGAGAGAGGCACGGTGGGGATTGGTCGGGATGATGGTGGTCCATCAGGTTGCAGTGAGAAGGGAGAAAAGAGAAGAAAGAGCACAGCAAGGAGAAATCTGTCAGACCTTTCATTCATTTTGCCATTCAGGGTGAAGCCTGTTTCAAGGGAAGGTGAGGTGAAGCCACAGGGAACAAAGAAGTCGTTCTAAATCACACTGTTAGGGATTCTAATGGTGTTCCTGGATAAGTGATTGAGTGGAATAGATTTTCAAGCTTACTCATTTGGTTTCCGACAGTAAAAATATGAAATATCAGCTAGCATAGGAGTGGATTCAACTTTCTGCCAAAAGGCACGACTTTTAAAATGGGAGAGCAGTAATTGGTTAACGATTTTGGCAAAGCAGGAGTCAAAACTGGAAAATAAACCCCCAACCTGATAACAAGACAATTGAAATTGGTGCAGAGATGGTACCTGTGCACGTTCGGTGGCTGTGGGACACACGGCCCTGCAGAGGACCTTTTTGATGACATCTGGCAGCAAGCTGACCGTTATAAGCAGGATGATGCTGAGCCAGGCCGGGCCACTGGACAACATCTGCATGAACACGTAATACATCCTCTGGTAGTTCAGGAAGGGCCTACGCAGCAACGAGAAGGACAGAAAATGGTTGCAGAAGTGTCCTAAGCTAAAATAAATGTTAAACCTAGTAGAAGAAAACACATATTATACCAAATGATGCCTCCCCAGAGGAGAGAGAAAATAACGTAGAAAAGTAGTGACCCCCAGATGACAAAGTGATTGATCCAAGTCCAGTGGTGTGTGTCCAAGGCAAGCTGAAACAAATACAGAATACACACATCGTAAACACTCAGCCTGTCAATTAAGTCAATGGCTGTGCCTTTAGGGTTCACTGTTGTGCGAAGTGAGCGGCCAGTGTGGTCAATCATTGACGTAACATGCTAGTTGACGTGTGCACCGCCAGCTTGTCCACACGTCCGATGAGGCACATATGCAACGTTAATGAACTCATTTAAGTGGAGGGGTTATGCGGTACAATAACATAGGGCGGCTCGTTTCTTCGCTTTTTCACTTCTGGAGACGTGGTCACACACCTTGAGCGTAACGGTGAAGACCAGCACAGTAAAGACGAGAGTCCCGAAGGTCCAGTTCCCAAACATCTGCAGGGCCAGAGGGGAAAAACAGGGTTAGCGGCCTCATTCATCACACACAATCGACCAGCATCCACGGGTCGGTGGACTTTCTATGTTTTCACAGTGCATATAGCACAACAAAGCGAAGGGGACCTGCTTGGATGGAAGTAGTATACATTTTTATTTGAAGCAATTAACTGAGAATGTTTCCCCTTCACCTCTTCGCCTCAAATCTTTCTACCCGTTGAAATCCTTGAAACGGTTTCAGCAGACATCAGGAATGACAGATGGGATGAGAGTTGAGATGGGAGGCAATGAGAGAGAGAGAGAGAGAGAGAGAGAGAGAGGGGGGGGGTAGAGGCAAATATGTAATAACCACAGCTGATTGTTCTTAACAGTGTGCCTCCTTGAAAGAAAATATTTTCTTTATGGATGCCATAAACAACCAGCATTTCCATTTTAAACCAGCTGGATTTGGTTCGTCTGACACCCGTGCATAAGGAGTATAGGATAAAAGCAACCCATACATTTAACATACACACAACGCACACACGTGTTAAACAGGAACAACAAACAGCTGTTAGATCTTAATCTATAGTGTCAATTAGTCCATTTACAACCAAACACAAGGATAGTGTGGGGAAGGATCTAAGGTTTCTACTATGTCAGTGGAGTGGTGGAGATCAGGTACTGTGTAGGATTCAGGGCTTTACAGAGATTAGAGGGAATAAGGGAGCACTCGAAAACTACACATTCCAATGAAAGGGTACGGATGGGAAGTGAGGAGGGATGAAACTGGATGAAACAGGATGAAACGGTACGACAGGAACTAAAAAGTGTAAGAGACAGAGAGAGCTGAAGGAGAGCGAGACAGGCTTACCATCTGTGTGTTGGTGGTCATAAGCTGAAGAAGAAGAAGGAGAAGAAGTGGAAGAGGAGCAAAATAAAGGGAAAAGAAGCAGAGAAAGGGAGGGAGAAGAAAAGAGAAAGGAATCAGGATAAAGGGTAAAATGAATTTCAGGATGTTTCAACTTAAAAAACAGGACCGAAGGCAATCAAAACAGCTGACATGATACAAATTAACAATACAGAGAAAGATGCTACTGCGTTGTCGATATGAATGGAGATCCTATGTTGCTGACCTATCGGGGGGGGGGGACAAATAGCTTACTGTTACAGACCCATAACAACGAAAAACATGATCACAAAATCAGCCTGTAACACTTAAGTCCTCTTTCAGGAGAATCCAATGGAGATGCGGAGTGTTTATTACAGGGCACACTAACTTTGTCCATTATTTTCTTTAATTTCCCTAAAGAACAGCCTCGAACACTCTATTTCTACTTGTTTCACGCAATGGCAGATCTCACTGCCTCTGATGCCATCGAGACGGAGCCTCACCTGGCCATTGCTGGTGAAAGTGGTGTTGTCAAACAGGAAGTAGGCACCGAAGAAGAAGACAACAGCGTCAAACACACCCAGGCACGTCCAATAGATGAAGACGGGCCAGCGAAGGAGGGAGTTCTTCGCTATGTCCCTGAGGAAGACGGCAGAAGAAGAGCAATGCTCACTAAAATAAAATAAAATATTGTGTCATAATTGTCACGGTTTCCCCATCAGAACTGCGCTGACTTGTACAAGGAGGGGTCCCTCTTGAGCCTCTCAGTGGTGATGTGCTGCTCAACCAGGCTGTAGAGGAGGATGGGGAGGGAGGTGAAGCTGATGTTGTACAACGTCAAATAGGCGGTGTCGTACAGAGGCTGCAGGGGGACAGAGACAACAGAGAGGACAGAGAGGACATCGGACATCTCAACCTGAAAGCGTCTTCACAGCGTCTTACTTTGGCCACTTGTAGGCAGCGGAGCAAGCTGAATATGTTGTTAAATTATAGACTTTTTTTGTTTGTTGTTGTAAAACATGTTGCACGTATTTGCCTAATTCGAAATGGAGCAGAAAACGCTAGCTTTCATTCACAGTTGTGGCAGTTGAATAATTGGCGATTTTAAGTCTCCTTTCAACTGTAGGTTGTGAAAAATGAAAAATTCTTCAGCTGCTAGATGTGCTTCTTTGAGACCAGCTAGTTGTTAACAGCCATTTGGTGCTTGGCAGGTAGAGTGAAGTGGGTTTATTAGAGCTGGGAACAAGATCGATGACAGTGGAGTTTGCGGGTCATAAAATCAAAACAAAAAAAGGGTGAAAATGCTGAGTTGAACTGAGGGGAACCGCAGAGGAGAGCGTTCATTCTATGACACTTATTAGTGCAGCTTTTAACATGAACATTTAAGAAAACATCACCAAATGAAGCCAGCTTAACTGCTGAATATGTAACGGTGTTGCGCATACTGCACAGGGGGCTTGCAGACTGGACACATACAGTGTGACGTACTTACCTGCTGGGAGAACCCACAGAAGAACTGGTACAGGAACTGAGGGAAGATGAAGCATACATTCTGGAGGGATTCAGAATGAGGAGAAAAAGAACAACACGCAGAGAAAGTGATCAGCTTGTGATGAGTACACGTGAAAAGATTAGAAGAATCTAAAAATGCTCCCATCTACACATTTCCATTCAAGCTGAGATTGTTTTCAGTGAGCTTGCTGAGTGGGCTGCAGAGGGATGACCTGCCAAAAGTACGAAATGAATCAGAAAACGCCCACACTGATCATCGTAGGCATGAATACGGGAGAGAATGTAGCAGCCAGGACTCATGGATCCAAAATGTGGTTCTTTTTAACTCAGGGTTTCAATAGGAATTAGCATAAAGCAATCGGAACGTGTGAGCCGGTGGAGCGCAGCAGACGTTCGTCTCGTACCTTGTAGAAGAAGTACTGAACAAGTTCAGCAATCCGGATGTAGTAGTAGTGGCCGTGAACGAGCAGCATCTTCTTCAGGTGTTTGAATTTGGGGATGGCATAGTCGCTGTTCCTCGCTGCCTGGCGGCCCTCTTTACCCATGATGCCTGGAGGAAAAAAAAAACATGACATACAATCTGATGAGGAAGAGAACACAGCCATGACAACACATTAAGGTGGTTTTCTACTAAATGTGGAAACTAGAGCTCAACTAATATTATATTGTATATGTGGGCCAAAACTGGTTATTCACAAACCAAGTGCACGCATGTTTTACTATATATATATGAGACCAATTGAAAAACAAAGTTCAATACACTATGGAGTTAACAATGGTAATTCTATATTTAATAATTTATTCAAGGGAGGATTTCTGTGTCAGACTAATAATAAAAACTAATTCTCAAATTTTCAGTCTCCTGTCTCAGTACGTATCCGATCTGATGTGTTTATCAGTATCAGGAGGCTTTAGGAATCCACTTGGTGTCTAATAGAAGAAACGTATTAAAATATACCGTATATTTGTATGTATGTGTGTATATATTTATAAATATATTAGGTGCTTACCAATGCCCACATGTGCTTCCAAGATCATGCTGACGTCGTTGGCCCCATCGCCGATGGCGAGGGTGATGGGGTGCTCCTTGGAAGCTTTAATTAGCTTCACAATCTGCAGTGAATGAAAGACCAATGTCAGGGACCCATCTGGTCACTGAGGAGTGCGTCTGGGCCGCGCTTTCATCCGTTAGGTGAGGTGCAGCTCGCTCACCTGCGCTTTCTGCAGCGGGGCCATCCGACAGCAAAGCACTGCGCTGCAGTTGCGACCGATCTCTAAAAAGATCTCTCTGTAGTTGCCGGGACCGGCGCCCTCCTGTTTGGACTTCAGTATTGCAGACAGAGTGGCCCCGTCGATGATCAGACCAAAGTCCAGGCAGTCTACAGACAACCTGGTATCGCAATATCAAAATAACACGGGCCGATCAACAGGGAAAAATGACTTTACCTGATTGTAGATCAGTCCTGCAGTCTTTTTTAAACTAGAGTTGGACGGAATTTTTATTCATTCTTCCCAGAATGCAAATGGTTGTGTATACACTGTGGAGCAATTTGGATAACAAAATATCCATCTTAACTCAGATGCAAAGGTTTCACACGTGATTTAATTTGCGGCTTGTTTCACATTTGAGCAAATTCACAGTGGACCGTTTTACTTGTGCTCACGATTTACTGATGTGGAGTAAACCAAACGAGTGCTGGAGAAAACACGGATGATCTCATACCCAGAAATAGAGCGTTGTCTGAGAACGGTCCTGCTTAGTTCGAACAGCACGTCGTGCAGACTCTGCTCCTCTGTGCGTTTCTTGGTGAGCTCGAGGATCTGGGTGCTGCGGCGGAACAGCTTGCTGGCGTAGCAGGTAGCCGCTGCCGTCTCCATCTTGTCGCCTGTCAGGACCCACACTTTCATCCCGGCCTTGTGCAGGGACTCAATGGTGTCTGCGGCTTTCTCCTGGAGCCTGCACATCGATAAGCCAATAAGGGCTTCAGCCTCCATGTTAAAGCATCCATCAAAAATCCAATCAACCAATCAACTACTTATCAATGCATGGCCCTGCCCTTCACCGGTTTATCTACGAGGCAAACTGTCCGGCGCCTGATTGATCGTTTGGGGAAAACATGTAAGGGCTCTAGCACATCTTCTAACAGAGCAGAAAACATTGGGCACAGCAGTAAAAGTAGTGAGACTTAATCTTTTTTTCCCCCTCATCAGTCATTACTATACTTTGAGGACCGCATTATGACTCATTAATCTTCCCTACTGTGCCCCCACTGCTGCACTTATCTATTTCTCCCTCTCTCACTCTCCATAGCGACCAACCTGTCCTCAACTGCCGTCGCTCCCAAAAGCACAAAGTCCTTCTCAATGGTGTCGTAGGCCTGCGCCAGCCTCTGCTCCCTGTCCTGCAGGGCCAGCTGGGCTTCGTTCAGGTGACGACGGGCCTCCTTGTATTCGGACTCTGACAGCCTTCGATAAGCGACGCACAGGGTCCGCAGACCCTCCTGCATTGCAGTGAAGAAGAGGAAGATGGATCATATAGGGGTACATCCGCGCTCTTGAACTGCTCAAATACATCTATCCCAAAACTGGCCTGATGAAATGCACCAAAACTGGATCCTTACAACAGCATTCTGCTCCACCCGGGCCTTCACCTGCTCCACCTTCCCAGACACGACGCGGGGAAAAATGGATGAGTCGGCCCCTTTACAAAACAGCAGGCATTCTCCTGAGACGCCACAAACACACACACACACACACACACAACAAAAACATTTCAAACAAACTGAACAAAGAGCCGGGTGTCTGGCCATGGGATTTTTAACCTGCACTACAAGCATTAGCATTACAAGTCTTACCTGAGCTTGACCGTACTATGACGCTCATTCTCCTCCTGACAGAGTCAAAGTTCAGCACATGGAGCAGCTCAAACCTGAAGGAGAACGGACTTTCAATAAAGGGTTTCTTTTTCTTAACTTTCCCTTATTTCAGTCATTAGTCCACTTCCGACCAACACAACTAGTAGACAATAATGTGAAATGTAAGGCAATATCCCAAAACTTCATCCTCAACATTCAACCATTTCAGGGGTAGCTTATTGGCAGATAATGACTTCGACAGACATCCCTTACTGGTCACTCTTGCAGGTCAGACATCCCCCCCTAGCCGACTGACTAACCCCCCCTCTTTCTAGTTCAGAGAATAACACAGGATCTTTGAGCTTTTCAAGATACAAACTGTCTAAACTAAGGGTTTGAGCTTTAAATTAAGCATTAATCTTTTTCCACAAACTACTAGAATGGCCTACGGTGTTACGGTATTCTAGTAGTTGAGAGTATAACCTTTTGCCTTTCCATTCCCGTCTCCAGCTCCCTCAAAATAGTTCACTATCGACAGGCCACTGCGGTGCGGAGTGATGGTTGGAGAGGGAGGGGGGGGCCACATGACCACTTCCTACTCAAAGCGTTTGACACTTTGCACAAAACCACTCTCTAATGGAATCCTACTGCCTTTCATTCTTCCAGAGCAGTTGGAGCATTTTGATCCAACTGAGCAGTTTGTAAAAATAACCCTCTGTTTTTCTCTCTGTTCACCATGTAACACAACCCGAGAGCCCTTTCCCTCGAAGGTAGCCGATGTATGACCACGACTCCATCCACTCAATTGCTCCTATTCCATCTCCTGTGGTGAAACCACAGCAGGCCTCTAACGAACCGACCTTTCGATCTCATCGTCTTTGTTGAGGATCTCCATGTAGTTGTCTTTCAGTCTCAGATAGGTGTAACCAAGCCTGGCAACAGGATGAAGACAGAGAGACAGAGACAGCAAGAACATTCATGTAAGTCTGAGTATCGATATAAACTATACAACATTATTCAACCCGTTCTGATGCATAGCCTGACCACAGCGCACACAATGTTTGAGTGACATTATTTATAGCAAAGGAATCCCAAACATGAGTCATTCAAATTGAATTTATCCCAGTAGGGTTATTGGGGCAGTATGGATGTAATAGCTACCTCAAATGAAAGCTCAAAGTCTAAAGATGTAGATCAAGTGTAAATTTAGCTACAAGGGGAGCCAATGCCTTATTACTTATAACCGCAAAGTCATTTAGCAAATGGCTATTTTTAGTGCGTTCACCTTTTCATTCCTTCCACCAAAGCCACCTCATCTGGCGAGGAGGAGATGTAGAAGGAGGTGGGCCTGCCCTGGTGGATGCCCCTCTTTATGCCATCGACCGTCTCCTCCTCCTTCACCTGCACCGTGTGACACAGGCACAGCGCCCGGAAAAACAGATCCTCGTGTTCCTGCCGACACAAACATACTTTCATTTTACAAATGCAATGGCAAGCTTTGTGACAATGTTGCAGAATGTATTCAGAAGCACACATTTGTTTCCCATAGTATTAAAAATAATTAACTACATTTCCCAACTACACAGCGGTAACGTAGGATATCATTCAAAAAGGGAGTTCTCTGCTCTCTCTCTCTTTTAACATCTGTGGTGGCTTCTGCAGCTCATGCTGACTGCATACAATTTTCCTTCTATTAAACCTAAACTAATTACCGTTGACACCGTGAGAAAAACAAGGCTCATCACTTTTCTGTGTACCAGAGCCCCCCCCCCATCCCATGTAAGACCTAAACAAACATCCTGCCTTAAAACGAGACATGTTAGTTAGTCCACAAACATGGCCCCTTCTCATTTTCAACTAAAATGTGTTAGGAGTGGCCTTTATTCTCGTCTCTATGTCAATATTCGATGGCAGAGTTACAACGAGCCTCTTCGGGCTGCGTTCTCTGTGAAACACACACAGCACTTACTCTCCTGTACCCCCCGGGTGAGGAGTCGATCATGTCTATACTGGAGGCAGCGCTGAGGATTTGGCCGTTGCAGATGGCGTGCGGGATGTAGACGTTCCCATCAACGCAGCATTCAATAAACTCCATGTTGTTTTCAGTGAGAGTTCCCGTCTTATCAGTAAAGACATACTCCACCTGTGAGGGAAGGGAGAGGTTAGGGGGAGAGCATGTGTGCAAATAGTGTATATGCAGATACCGTTACTGTTGCTGTGTGTGCGTGTGTGTGTTCTCAAGTACCTGCCCCAGCTCTTCATTCAGGTCAGAGGTGTTGACCAGAGCTCCCTCTCCCAGCTCTTCATCGAACATTTCTTCATCCCAGGTGATGAAATAAGACCCCAGGAACTTCTGCATCTCCACCGTCACATACATGGACACTGGGATGATGTAATTGAATAAGACCATGAAGGCCAAGAAGTCTGTGAATGCTCGGATCACCTGTAGGAGGAAGGGAAGGCAGACAAGAGAGGTGGAGTTTGAAAGGAGATGATTCTTGACACTGGCCGTCAAGACTGTGTCTTTGAGTCGGAGGTTGAACGAACTGACCACGTGGCGCTGGCCGCTCGTTCTCAGTACTGGGGGTTGTACCAGGGGCTCTTCTCGTGTCAGGACAAACACTCCTCTTTTTAATCTATTTATTGTTGTTGATCACCCGCCCTGGCTGAAAAAAAAAGCAAAGATACCACTACCAGAGAGGGTTTTATCGCCGTGTCAGAGAGTAAAGATCAGGAGGAGGAAACAGCGATTAATCAGACTTCACATCTAGATCAAGCGGGTGGCAGAGTGGGGACGTCAATTATACTTTTCCACAGCGGAGCGCTTCTGAGATTTAGACTGGTAATTAAGCGCCATCTTGGTCTCCATACCAGTGTAGACTGCGACAGCTGAGGGGAGAGAAAACAGGTCAATGACCACAACCACCTTTGCTGAGCTCAAACGTTCCAGAGACATTGAGCAGTGAATCTTTGTATTAATACCATAAATATGTTGTGTGTTCTTCAGTGTGGCTCCTCTAAGGAGCAAATTCTCAGCCCCGAGTGGTCTGCAAGAATGAAACACAATCCGTGGCTGTTTTTATTTCAGAAAAAAGCATTGAAAACATTTTAACAAATTGAGAAAAGAGCTAAAAACAGAGCATCTGGCCACAGTGAATGTACACTTACCTTGCCAAAGGCTCTTCTCTGTCCTTATAAATATTGATGCGTCCCACAAATCTGCAAAAGAGTCACAAAAGAGGTCGCTAATTAACAGGGAATATCTCCTTCTCAGAGGTTGCAGATGATAATGTGAGTACAAAGATGCATCAGCGTGTGCGTGTGTCTCACTCACTTGTAGAGGTCAGGCTGTGGTTGTTCACATTCAATGGTGGCATGTAGCGAATCCACCTCCCGCTCCGTTCTAAAGGCCACGGTATCTTGAACTGCATAATAGGTCTGAGATGGGCAGGTGGAGGAAGGGGGATGAAGGAGAAGACAACAGAGGAAAATGTCACCCGCCGGCAACTAATGAGAGCCGAATGCAGTCGACTCCTCCGTTCCACTGAACGCCCGGGCGAGCGCTTACAGACCGCCGCACCGAGGAGGACAGCACGCTGGGATGAGAAGCACTTCGGGGGGTCGCCCCCCAGGGCATGCATGAGCGGAGTGGGTGGAGCACTCTACCATATGCTGTGGACTTGTCAATGTGTATACATTCACACTGTAGGGCGTTGCCTTAGGGACAAGTGATTGTTACATTTTAGAACGACGACTTGGTATAAGGGGAATGTATGGTTAGGGTTAAAGTCTTTTTTCTCAGCAAACAAGTTGTTAATTAATATTTACAAATTGTAAATTGTTGTTTTGATTCAAAAAAATATATACAGTATATAAACAATTCACTAAATATATTCTGTCTACTATCACAACCTGTATGAGAAGCAGCAAATTCTTACATTAGGTAAGCTGAAACCTTTAGCACTATAAAATGCTTTCAAATTAGCTTGCAGAATTTTTTATCATAAAGTTTCCCAGTTGGGGGGATCAGAGACGGTTCTCTTAAAAGATAAACTAAATGGTATATAAACCTTGTGACTGGACTCCCCATCCAGGCTGGCAGTGGTGACGTAGCAGGTCCCATCATGGCGACTGGAGGAGAGCAGGATGAGATCACAGGGGAAGGTCTCATCCTCCCTCACCATCACGATGTCCCCCACCTGAGCGGGACAGACACACACCCGCGGCTTTACTCAGTGAAAAAGTATTTTGCAGAGAGCTTCACATAAACACAGATAGTAAAAGGACAAAGACCTTTTTTTTTTTTTTTTTTTAAAGGATTGAGAAATTGCATAACAGATTATGCATGCGGAGCAGCTTAAACGCTGATAAATCCCATCTCCACGGTGACCATACACATGACACACGCACTCTGATTTTGCATGATTAATATATTCAGAATTGTTCCTGCTCCCAATTCACCCCCTAATCATCTGTTTGATCTATGATGGTGAGAAATCTTTGACAGAAAACGCTCAAAGGGAGACAGAAAAAGACCGTTTTCTGATGTTAAATATCCGTCTCGACCAATGACATCCAGCGAAAACTGCTACTATGGAAATGCAAACTCTAAAGACCCTGTATCCATTAAGGCGGGGCAGCTGTATTAAAACCCTATTCTAAGCTGACTCTCAACATCCTGCACACTCTCTGCATGCCTGCTAAGAGCAGCAGACGCGACAGAAATGGATTGTATAAACTGCACCTATTATACACCGTCCGGGACAATGGAGAAACAAGACTCAGATACAAGGTATCTACACATCTACAAAGGAGGTGCTGAGCTAGAAACTCTCGCTATGTGGTCTGACACCTCCGTTTTCACGTACGCTGGGAGGAAGTGAGATAGATATCTGCAGCGTAATATGCCGGCTCAGTGAAAGCGCTTGATGTTTTTCTAAAGGAATCTTCACCATTACATCTGCTACCAGGAATAGGACCACCGAATAAAACAAAGCAATATAAATTGGTTCTCCTATATCATCATGTATTTATATATATATATATATATAGACCAGTAGTAACTATTTTGAACTGTAATTGGTTAATTATGTTAGTACTGTGCTGTATTATGAGAGTGGAAGCTGGCAAGTATTGAAAGCTGACAAATTGCCTTGTTGCTTTTCATGGAATTTGTTCTTCATTCATGGAAAATAGCTAAAATATTTAATGAAGGCAGTCCGTTCCTTTCCGGCTTTTGGTCCACGTCGCCTTGGCAACACCTGTGTTTAGAGGTGGCAACTGCTCGTGCCTATCAATAATTCAGTTCTCAGATTTCTGTGCCGATACATAATCAATGGGCTTGGCAAACAAGCAGTGAGCAGCCCTTTTGACAAAAATGGATCAGAAGAAGAGCAACTTAGGTTTAGCTTTATAGACAACACCTGGACTAAGAGGATTCCTTGCGTCACCCCGTCTTAATGAAGAAAACTAAACACGGCAGTCGGCCAGAATGTTTGTACTCACATGAAATGTTCAACATGGGTCAAGCAGTTATCATCAGTAACAATAAAACTACTGACATCGCAAATAATACTGAACAAAAAAAAAAATACTTGCCAAAAAATGTTTTTTTGCAAGAATGAGACTGAGGATACGCAGACACCGATCTGCTGCATCGCAATGACATAAGAGAACATCGCCGGATGATGACAGAAATATCCCAATATTATGAAATACATCGGCCCCCTTCCCCTGCCAAAGGGCTCTTGCGTAGTGCACTGTGGGACACTAGATCCGTCCCTCAACTACAATTTCAGGGAAGTGAATTGATGAGAAAGAAACGAGAGAGTCAGAGAGGAAGCGAGTGTGAGAGAGAGAGGTTGCAGAAAAAAGGACAGCTATGCAGCAGCGTGCTGCAGTGTTGCCTTGTGGCCTCGGGTGCTCCGCCGCTCTAATGAGGCCATTCTTACCCGTAGCTTGTGACTCTGTGTTCTCACCACCTTCCCCTGCTGCACCACGTCCACCGGACACTCGTTTATAGAGCAGTCAGCCTTGTGCCTGAGCCAGTCCTCGTAGCCCTGAGAGAGCAGCAGAGACAGAGGGACCGAGAACAAGACCGTAAGGGGAAAGGAAGAGGAAGCCCATGTGTTTGAAACAGAATATAGATTATTGTGCAGAAAGAATCAGGGCAAGAGGATAGTATGAGATCAAGAGAGACGGCGGGGAGAGGGGGGGGTGAAAGTCATACACTGTAATAAATTAGCATTGCGCTCCCTGGCTTTCAAGCCAAAAACGTCATGTTTTGGATTCATGTCCTAGCAAGGCTCGTACGTCCTGGGCCAGAACAGCTCTATCAATCTGACAGTACCCCCGTCCCTCAGTACCAGTACCCAGGGGCTTCAGTTGGAGTGATTAACAGAGAAGACCATTCATTATCATATTTCTCACATCACCAAACACATTCAACGGCGTGTCCTTTCGCTGGGAGTGGAATGTGTATATTCAGACAACAGAGCGGCCGATTGGTGGAGAGTGTGTGTATTTGAGGCCGGGACTTGTTGTGTGAGGGGGGGGTTTGTTGTTGGCAGTATTTCCCGGAAATGTGTGCATGTCTGTGTGTGTGGTACCTGTTTTATAGCGGTGACAGTGATAACAAAGAAGAGGGGCAGGCCGCTGGTGACTGGGCTTGTGGGGGTGTCGATGATAAGCTGCAGCGGGACAGTGGGAGGGAGGTTGGGGGTGGGGTAGGGGGAGACATAGAAAGGAGAAGGGAGAGGAACGCTGAGTAAGGAAGTGCAGCAGGGAACAGCTTCTGTAATAAGTAATCAAACACCAATCTGGCACCTTTAAAGTATCAGAGTGATTAAATCATGTTTGATTGCCTCCATCTGCACACCATCCTGGGATAGTTTACTTGTGTTTTGTTTTAGGACCTACAGGGAACACTGCCCCATTCAGAGGGTGCTGCATTTCACATGCTACTGAAAAGACCCTCAGCTGTGGCTGTGCAGCAACTGCTGGTGGAAAATGTAGTTGTATCCTCCTCCTCTTCTATTCTATGATGAATTTGTTCCTGCATGATTATTCAACATTTTGTGCAAATTTAGTAGCTCTATGAAACAGCCGCCTCTCCCGCTATCCAACCTGTGCAAGTTTAAACCGATGAGAATCTGAAAGTGTAAAAATGTAATCAAGTACAGCATAACTGGTCTACCCATTTTAATTCTGTCAGAAACTATAAGAAAAGGTAAAGTAAAAGCTTTGCGTCATTTGTTTTCAGGGCACAGACTAATGATTACTATTGATAATTTGTTTTTTTCCAAGAATATGTCTTCTTCAGTATTTGTTAAGAATAATTGAAATCTACAGCTTTTGCTACATTTCAAACGTCATTAAGTGTACTTTGCTAACTTTGAGTAGAATTGGGCCGGTGCAGGTAATTCTTTGAGAAAACGCGAAATAACGCATGATAATATATGATGATCTACGATGTGATAAACAGACAGTTGGAAGAGTAATGCTTTGGTTTCACTGTTCTCACCTGGACCAGAAATATGGCCAAGAAGTAGAAGTTAGCAATTCTTCTAAACTGCTCAAACAAATTTTTGGGGATGAAGTTCCAGGAGGTATACTGGGGGACAAAGCGACAGCAGAGTTAACATCACATAAGAACCGAAGGGGAAACAGAGCACATTATCTTCCAGTCCCTCTGGCGAGAGAAATGGCGGCAGACACTTTGACGAATACATGTAAAGAGAAACGTGTCATCCCTAAAAGCACGGCCACAAAAGCGATTACATGGTTGTCCAAAGACAAAAACAGGAGCGTGATGAACAATGTTATGGTCCTCTGACTCACGGCGTGTGGCTCGCTCACCTTGGAGGAGACGATGCGGTTGTCGGGGTAACGCTGAGGGATGTAGGCCTCAGCCCCCGGAGGAGGTTCTTTATGACCGATGTACACCGTTCGACTGTCCAACCAGATCTCCTCCCCCATGCACTGATGGAGGGAGAGAGAGAGATATGTGTAGTTATAAATAGCAATACAGGAGGAGAGAAAAAAACGGGTTAAATCACGCTGTTCAACCTCCGTAATGTGTTCACATGCAACACGTAAGCTATTTACAATCTCTATCAGCGCCCCCAAACACCGTACAACCAAGCCCAGATCTCTTTACACCCGTGCTTGCAATGCAGGTAGTAAAGGCAAAAGTACACATCGATATCAGAGATCTCTCCTTCTTCTGATGATGCTTCTTTTAAGCAACAATATGCCAATCTTTACTTAATAGATATAAATATATACCAGCACTAGCTAATGGGAAAATCATTAGACTATTCATTAATTACAAAATGAATCGCTGAGCAGTTTGACAAACAATCAATCAAGTCCGTTATCAGGCAGAATTGCTCACGATTCACCAGTTCAAGCCCCTGAAATAAAAAGGTTTTGCTGCTTTTCTTTTAAATCATTTGAAAATGGGTTTTGGACTGTTGGTCAAACAAAACAAGCCCTTTATGACGTCCCAAACGAACGATTAAGAGAGACAACGATTAAATGGAATAACATCATCCTCGGATCACTTTACTAATGAAAGTTTGAATGAATTAGGGGAAGCGGAACTATGCCTTACTGTCCTGGATTAAACAGTGCAGTCAGGAAACAGAACATTACACAAGACCATTGCACGACTTCAGTCGCTACAACGACTCACAGACCAGCTCGAAGGATGAGGTCATCTATGTTGATGTGTATACATGGTATCGGCTTAGTCACAAGTGTGGTTTCATCATTTATCTTTTCCCTTCTTCCTGCAGTACCTCTCTGCAATCTGCTGCATTATTCTTCTACACAGAACAAAAACAATGTTGCTGGTTTTTGGTGCTGTGATACAATATTAATAAAGCACATTGCATTGTGGGTACACACTCCTCCAACTTAGTTTATCTCTCATTTACTGTAGGTTCCATTTAAGCAGCTCCCAGGGGACTAACACAGTGCATTCTAGGAGTTTAGCGGAGCACATATTTATTTTCCAAGGTGTCCTTCATCAAGGAAGAGAGGAAAAAAACAAAAGTTGAGCGACCTGGGCGTTCAGCTGTTTGTTTCCATCTGGCTTCCTACGTGGCTCCTAATGCTTTGGCCGGAGCAGGCAGTGTGAGCGCAGCCTTTGGAAATCAGCCTGCCTGACGCAGCTCAAAGCAGAAGTGGTGACCATTATCAAAACGTTCTGGAACCATCTTAAAATGTCCTTAACATTTTGGCAGATATTTACCTCATCACTGCCAATGACAAGATCTTTTATTGCGTCCATGAGTCCATGCGTCTGCGTCTCCTCGGTAACCTTGTAGATTCAAATCCATCATTTTTTGAACAGGAATACTACAAATATGACTCAAATCATATCTTGTCTGACCTGCAATCTGGGTTTAGAAAAGGCCACAGATGTACCACCGCTACACTGAAGGTCCTTGATGACGTTATCACCGCCATGGACAACAAACAGACTTGTGTAGCTGCCTTTATAGACCTAGCCGAGGCTTTTGTTTCAGTCAACCATAACACTCTCCTGCAAAGACTTACCAGCATTGGCTTGTCCAGTGGATGTTGCAACTGGTTATCTAGCTACCTGGCTGGTCGTGTCCAGCGGGTTAAGACGGAAAATATCATGTCTGCACCTCTTAACATTTCAAAAGGTGTGCCTCAAGGCTCCATTTTAGGCCCTATTTTGTTCTCTATTTATATTAATGATGTAGCCAGAGCTGCTGGAAATTCCTCTATTCATCTGTATGCAGATGACACCATCATATACAGTATTCAGCTGTTTCCTCACTCCACTCTGCCGTGTCCATTCTTCACAAAACCTCACTTCCATCCAACAGTCTCTCTACACCCTCCAGCTGGTCCTAAACTCCAAAAAGACCAAATGTATGCTGTTTGACCTCATCATACCCAGCCCTCCCAAGGTCTACAGTGCTGATGGATCGGAGCTGGAGTTCGTCAGCTCCTACAAATACCTTGGCTTCTGGTTGGACTCATCTCTCTCATTTAACATACACATCAAAATCCTTCTGGCTAAAGTCAAAGCCAGCCTGGGTTTCCTGTATCGAAACCAGGCCTCCTTCACACACTCTGCCAAATTCACCCTTGTGAAAATGACCATCCTTCCTCTATTTGACTGTGGCGATATCATTTATAAAATGGCATCAAAGGCCACCCTCAGAAAACTGGACACACTCCACCACTCAGCAATATGATTTGCCACAAGTGCACCCTTCACCACCCACCACTGTGATCTTTACAGATTGGTGGACTGGCCCTCCCTTTATACCAGGCGGCTACAACACTGGCTGCTCGTGGTCTACAAATCCATTTTGGATTACCTCTCAAATATTTCGGCATTTAAGATCCAGTGACTTCATTCGGCTCATCATTCCAAAAGTCCATACTGTGTTTGGTCATGACTCCTTTCATTTTGCTGCTGCAAATGATTGGAAATCAGTACAAAACACACACAAACTAACAGCCCTCACCTCTCTCAACACATTCAAAGAAAAGCTGCAACGAGCCATAGTTGACTGCTGTACTTGCTGATCAGCACTCACTACTCTCTCTCTTCCATTTCTACAAAGAACTTCCAGTAATCTGCCTTTTTGTACATAGTGTTTATTAATTTAACTCTGTTGTTTTTAGCCATGTGTTTGTCATACTGTGTTGTATCTGTGCTGCTTGTGTCACTTGTGTGGACTGTGCTACTGCCTCTTGGACAGATCATCCTTGTAAATGAGAATTGGTTCTCAGTGGATTTTACCTGGTTAAATTAAAGGTCAAATAAAATAAAAACAAACTTCATCATTTAGTCTGGAGATAAAAATAAGGTTTAAAAATAATCACAATTTCAGAATCTGCGTCATAAGTCGCACTAAAGGAAAACGAGTCACAGAGCTAAACTCATCCACAGTGACCAACAGGTGCTCGGCCGTGGGATAAAAATAGTCTTTTGAGCCAACAGTGTCAGTCGACTTGAGGCCTCTCCAAAACATTATGGTTGGGGGCACCATGACCCAGAGGGACAACGTGAGAAGAAAAGTGAGACAGAAAAAGAGTATCAAATAGAAGTGGAGCTAGCTGAAAAGCTGAAGCAGATATCTTTAAGATAAACAAAACTCTATTTGTCCCGAGGGAAATGGTTGGTGAGCCGCATCAGCACAAAGGAGTGCAAAAAAAAAAAAAGTAAACAATAAAAGGGAGCAGTGACGATCCTTAATATTATCATGATTATGAAACGGCATATCCGCTGTGTTCCACTTCCGTCATCACATTCTCCTCCTTTCTGCACTCTACTATTCCCTCCGTCTCTTGCCGGCGTGTGTCGCACACAGACAGTGGGAGTGTGGGAGAGGGGCCGAGAAAGACTGCATTGTGGTTTGTGGTTATCTGATCATTAATCCTCACTGATCTGTATCAACCTCCCTCTTCACTGCGCTGCACCATCACACAAAGTGGCAGGCTGGTCGGATGCAGGACACGGAGGCTTTGTCTTTATTAACAACATAAAACCGTGTCCGAGCAGAGAGGCTGGTCTTACATCACTATCAATCGGCAACGATGACAAGATGCATTTGATAACGGCAAAGAATCCACAGCACCTCCTAGTCTCTATGGCAGAGAGTTTTGAACTGTTTCATCTCTGGATGCAACATTAGAGAATAGAAGTGTGTTTGCCGAGGTTTTAAATGCTACTTTTAAAAGCCTCTCTAGTTAGACCTTTTAACACAGGCTCGTAGAACTTTTCGTGTGCATATTTCAATGTGGGAAAACGACCCTGGCCCCGGCGGTGCAATGATCCGTCCCCACGTTACGGCTTTTTTCCACTGCAGAGGTGTAATAAAATGTATACGCTATCAGTCTCGCCATGCTGTGCTGCAGAGACACAGCATGGCGCGTCGAGCCGAAGTCGCTCATTAACTTACATATCAAATTTCTGTGATGGAGCTCTCCCATAATGAACTACTTATGTTAACTGGACAGAGGATGTAGAAACACACAAACAGTGATTACAAAACACTGCGTGCAGCATGTGATGGATGTGTAGCCCACAGAGAATAAATTCAACGGTCAATGTTGTGGAATCTTAAGGGAATTAAGTAGGTAGAGTAAGTAAAAGGCATAAAGAAAACACTAGGAATTTGTAGAATTGCCTATTGTAACTTGTAGCTAACTGGACTAACTCACGTTAGCTAATGATATACAACCCGTTAAACACGGGTAAAATATTTTTTAGTTAGTATCTGACCGTAGACTTTATAAATTGTTGTTTGATTAAAGTCAAAAACTGAGAACATTTTAAATTGTATTTTAGAGAAATAACACTTCAAATCCACTTTAAACAAGCGCAAAATTAACAGTCAATTAAAGTTTATATATATTATTTAGACGTTACTTAGGTATTTAGCTGACACACTTCTGAAGCATTATTGGTGAAAATCAATTCACTAGCTTTAGTATTAGTTTTACCTAATACATTTGCAAATAACTGGTGAAACTAGAAAACTCAAAAGTTGTACAGCATTTATTTCCACTCTAATTAGAGAAATTAGCACAGCAGCCAAGACAATATTTCCTGGCTAAATTTTGAATTACGACTATTCAGCTGTTTGCCAAAGCTTTGAGCAAAGATAAAAGGAGCATAGAGACCTTGATCAGCTGAAAAGGAAAGAGGTTACCTGTTCAACATGCACCACTACTACTGGTTTGCCATTAATCGCCATAGCAACATAGGATGCAGAAATAGAGAGCCACCTATGTCTACAGGTGCATAATGGAAAGGACCAGATAGCGTGCATTAAGTATATAATGAAGATCAAATATGTAGGACTTTCTCATTAATCTAAATCTCTGGAAATGGATTTTACAAGAGATTGTAAGGTTTTCATTAAATTACTGGTCCAGACAATATACTCAAAATATATTTTTGTGCTTTTATTTGGTTCAGTTGGGACTTCTCTCTGCGCATGCATGTGTTTTCTCTGTGGACAACCTTTTTTTGGTATTTTCTATATAATATAATTACTTATTAGACAATAACATTTTAGAGAAATCGCTACACAGCTGCAGACACAAAAACATGTACCAGTATTTGGGTTGCAAAATATGACACAAATAGTTCTGCCTGCATACGCTGCAGTCAGTGATGACGCAAATCACTGTATACCAGCAACAAAATCAAAGGATAAATATGAGAAGATTACGATAAAATGACAACATTAGTATTCTGATGTGGCCCCCACTCTCCCACTTGACTGGCCGTGATCCAACTGTTACATAAGTCTTTAATCCAGCTGTGCTACTTCTCCTCTCCCCTCCTTCTCCTCGCTCCTTTTCCTCCCGCCACTGCAATCTGTATTCCAAAAAGAAGCCCCTTTCACTCATAGTGTCTGCTTTCAGCACTGACCAACATCCTACTGCAGGAAATGACTCTGTTTTCTCTGATGTACACATGGGCCAGCAGCTCTGCCCAAACACAAATCCTCTGTGTTTTGTCACCTACAGCCTCTGTCTCTCCGTCAGGGCCCCCATGCCCGAGGGGGGCGGCAGCCAGGAATAGACCGCCCTTAACCATTTGTGGCAGCTAACGTGGCAAGCAGGTTGTGTTTTGCCTTCCATTGGTGGCCAGGGGACGCTTACAAGAGCTGCAAAGTATCTAGGAACCCTTCTAGAGCCCTTCAGCACCCATTTGATCAAAGGCAGACCTGGCTGCCCTCTTCTCCTTCATCTGCTGAGGTTGCGAGAGGTCTCCGCAAGAATAACAGTCATGTGTATATAGACAAGATGTAAAAGAGGGTGAGGACACAGAGGGGGGGGGGATCAGGGTAAATGCAGGACAGGAGAAGGCAGTGATTGATATGAATGTAGTTTTATGATTGGGAAAAGGTACACATTGAATAAGAAGAGAACAATGAATCCCTTATAAAAAGGGAAGCGGCCTGCTTCTTATCCAGATCAGTTCTCACTCTTTGCACCACACTGAGGCAGGTAGGTTGTTATGCAACAAACATTTCCCATTTAACTTAACACACTGCAAAACACCCACATATTTTTCTTCACAAAAAACGATTTACTGGTCGACAATTCACTAGCATTTTTCCATGAGCCAGAAAACGGGCTTATATGCAGCAAAAGAAGGCACAGCTGACAGAAAAAGTTGTGTGACGGATAGATTTGGGGGGGACGGTCTGCAGATACTAAGGAAGTGTTTCAGGAAACAGTGTCTACTCTCTTCAGAGGGACAGCTTATGCACCAACTGTCCTAATGACAATTTAGGAACCAGACAAATGATAAACGTAAGCATCCTGGACGACGACCAAGAACAACCAGTCTTTTTTGGGATGTCTGCAATACTTTTTGTCCTGTCGGGTTTCCTTCCTTCCGTGTTGCTTCTTTCTGTGAATCAATTTTAGGTATTTAGCTTATTTTTATTTAACTATTTTTAATTGAATGGCCGTCTCTATTCCTCACAATGGCTGTTGGACTGTAAACATTCCATGCAGCAAAGGAAACAAGCGCAGGACTTTATCACTCCGTGCCCAACCAAATAACAAGTCCAAATATATGACAATGTTGTCAATAAACTAGAGTAAAAACAAGCAAGGGAGAGGTGGTACGTGCAACACAGGTAAAAAATATTAATTTTCCAGATACAAAAACACATGAAAGACGGGTCCTAAGTCAAAAGCAGTGTGATAATACGGGATACGACGTAGAAAGGACATTCCTAGGGGAGTATGGTGGCAGAATCTAAGCACATTGTTTCCTAGCTGAATCTTTAATTTATCTTTAATTCAGAATCTCACCTTGACGGAGGTTTCCTCCTCTATCTGTCCAGGGAAAAGGCGCGGCCGTCTTACCCATATTACATGTTAATCACCTTGCATGTTGTTCTTCTATGTAGCCTCATTAGGGGAGCAGCTGTTCAGAATATGGCCGGGTTAATAGAGTGTGATACACCAGTAATAGGCGCACCAGACATACATCAAACATCCCTCCCGTTCTGAATCAACAGATATATAATTGAATTTATGATTAATCCCTCGTCTACTTCACCATGTTGATGAGTGGTGCTGCAGAAGGAAAATATTGAGAGATGAGGGGCGTGTTTATTGACCCCATCCCTCCCACCTCACCTCCTTACTCGTAAATCACATTTCCCATCAGGCTCCCTGTCACCACACGCAGATACACACACACTCACCGGTGCAAGCGCCACCGAAATAACCTAAATGAGCATGAACGCACCAGCACAAACACACGCGCTCACGCTGACAGTTAACTTCTGTGCACCTGAGCCCGCTTTATGCTCAGGGGAATCTACATTGCAGATGTGACGATATTCCAGAGGTGCACATGTCTGATCCCCACACCTGTCAGAGTCGGTTCCCAATAGACGCTCGGTTCTCTAATGCAGCCGCCAACCATCGGCCTGTTCAGACCAGACGCACCAGCACACCGTCATTTCATTTGTTATTATGGCGCTTTCCATCAAGGGGTTTCTACCTAAAGCCTCTTCGCTTAAAAACAGGCCGGTGCCTCCAAGGTCTGTGATCCCCGATTGGGACTAATTTCCTCTGCAGACCAGTGCAGGCTGGAGGCCATGAGGCAGTGGGCAGCGTGCATGCATATTGTAACTCTCTACGGCATTGTAACTGGGCCAGCCGGGGTCATTTCTATTCTGCACATTCACCAGCCATCCCCGCATCTGCAGTTACTGGCACATTCCCCATTCGGTTCCACAGAAAAACACACACACACACACACAGAAACACACTGCAAAGCCCACAGTCAATGGCCTGCCAAAGCAGCCCAAGAGAAACGTTCATCACCGGGCGATGAGCGAAGTGTTCATCACCAACCGGTGGGACCACAGCTACGACCATTGAGAGCTGATGGTGACATGGAGCTACAGTTGTGACAGCAGTGACAGACGGGCGGGGTGTGTGTGGGGGGGGCTTACGTATCTGCTGATGATGTTCCGGAGCGGGGTGAAATCCATCCTTGAGACACCTACGGCCGCGACCTGTCTGTGACAGAGACGCTCAGCTTCCCCCAATCGGGTCCTTTTGCACGCGCTACCTAGCGTGGATCTTTCCACCAGCAGCCATCGCTCACCACCCGCTCCTCCCGCTCCTCCTCCTCCTGCTGCTGCTCCGCTGCTGCCACCGCCGCGGTGTCCGTGATAGCGACGAGCAGCGGCGTCTCAGTCGGCTCTCGTGGTTTTCACGGCATCCCCGAGAAGCGCCATGCAGAGACCGAGCGATTCCGACCGCGCACACCGACGCCGCTGGCTACATTTCAGGGGGGGGGGGGTAATTTCACCGCACGCAAACCACCGGAGCTCCGGGTGTTCTTCCGGGTCTCCCCGTCCGCCCCCCCTCCACGCTTCTGTCGTTGGTTTAACCGTATTTCGTCCTCGCAGGAGACGCTCCTTCGTGGAGGCTGTCTGCGTGCCGCTCTGCGTTGCAGCGGCGGCACCGCGCAGCGTCCGGTGCTCGGATGACTGGGCTGCGCATGCGCCCCGCGGGGGAGTAGTAACGTTCCGTTCCCCCAAAATAAGGACTAAACTGCAGGAGCCACAGTGATACCAAAATTAGTACAATGTTGTTGGTCACTGTGAGGGATTTAAAAAACTAGGTTTTCTTTTAGATACAATACAATTACAATACTTAATGACTAAGTTAGTGAAACCAGCGATAGAAATGTTATATATTATAGTACAGGCGTGTCATCAGCCAAATGTCTCTAAAGTTAAGTTAAAGGAAAAAATAGCAATAGTAACATATTTGGGTTGTTGTAGATATCGCCAGGTGGCAGAGAAGGTGATTCTACATGATTTAAATACTGTTGCTGGGTTTATTGCAACACATTTTATTTGCTGATTATAGCTTTTAAAAATCTATATCTCAGAAGCAATTTTCAACAATTTCACAAAGCTATTTGCCTCTTAAATCTAGGCCTATACGTTTAAACTGAAAGACTAAGACTAAGTAAGGTGAGGTACGCTGCTCAAGAACAGTACTTAATACAAAGTATGTTAGTTAATGTGGTAACTCGTGTATTGCAGGTCTCCCCATTGGACGTAGGTGTTGTGTCAGAATCGTCCATACGTGTAACATATAACCTCTGGGTATATTTAGGAAATGTTTCACATGACCTAAATGCCAGCCACTTTTTTCCAAAACACACTTTCTCGAAAATGTCTCAGCCCCGAATTCAGTGGGGCCTCAAACAGTAAACCAGTCAAAGGGAGTTTCATAACCAAGAGGCCAGAAGATGTTCTATTGCTTTTAATGGAGTTATGAAAAAGTAAGCACATTAGTTAGTCATCTTTAATTTACATACAATCGATTTGAACAGTTCCCAGGAAGTGGTACCTGCTATGTAGCCAAACTTTTCCATACAAACTGCTTTTGGATATTGATCCTCTTTGTTTGAATATGAGAAAGAAGAAATCAAAGACAGGTGACTTGTTAACACCATAATACTAACAAACAAACACGTTTGAAATGTTGGAAGAATCAAAACCCAAGAAATGAAAAGTTAACACAACAAGAAAACCCTGAAGCCACAGCTCACACTTAATATTATGTTACAGAGCTCACGTTAACTGCAGCTACCCAACAGAAATCCTGCCATTATCGGGCTTGTTGCAACACAATGTTATTGACCAAATTCTCGCTCAACCCGCCTGCACGTATTAGCGCCGAGAAATAAGATGCAGTCCCCATTTGCGTATGATCCTGTGACTGCGGGGCGGCAGGGCGTGATGTCTGCCCCAGACGTTTCACTTGCAGAGGTAACACGACTTTCAATTAGCGCAGGCACTATAAATAATAAATAAGAATCCAGCCCTTTCAGCTCTGACCTACTAACGTGTGATGCTGTGTTTACCTCCCTCAAGACCTCCGGGGGCCTCAGTGTGTAATAATGAGTCTGCCTCAGTGGACACATTAAATCCTGCTCTTCGTTTATGGACTGTGATGGTGATGTGCGTGTTGTGTGTTGTGTCGTTGTCATGCGGTGGAAGGCAAAAGGCCACCAGCTGCATGAGGGCATCCACACGCATGAGGTTTTCAAGTATGTAGGGCAGCCAAATGGCACCATGTTTTCCTTATTTTTAGGCAGCCTTAGAGGGCACATGCCTTACATTTTATCCACTGCAAGGGCACCGTGGAGGGCATTTCATCGCGTTTTCTCTGCAAGGGAAACTAGAAGCTACTGGATACTTTTTTTCGAGCATTCAAGGAAACTCCAGTTGATGGACACCGTGGTGTCTAACTTTAAGTTTAAGAGATAGTGCCACCAAAGCAGATATGAGAATGCCTTCATCCACTACAATGAGAACATAAGGAAAGCTTACGTTTTTGGGAAAAGGTGTCTGGCTTATAAAAAAATTTTCCTCACTTACACTGATGAACTAATGTAACAGATAATCGTGTTCTTACTTTTCAGATAGTTGAGATTATGTTTCCACTGCTGTGGTTTTGATTACCACCATAGCTGACTGACTATCACTGTTCCGTCTGACTGAAGAAACTAGGTCATTGTTGGTCCCGTCCTTCTGTCTTCTGTGTGGGCAAAGGAGAGCCACATATGGGGCAGTGGGCTGCTTTCCCATTGTTGCCATCAGACGTGCCTGGGAAGAATCTGCCATCTGCGTATCTGAGACAGATTAATAATACACGAGTGTTCCACGTCAAATCACTTTACAAATGGATCTATAGGACATTCTCTGCAGACACAACTGTGGCTTTGGGGGGTTTCTAATGAAAGCTTTGCAGCTTGTTTTGTACACTGATTGTGCTGAGAACTGAGGAACATAGACAATGCTCATTGGGCAGCAGGCTGGGGATAACAGGGACCCAACAACAATATTTTACAGAAGGTCCCCCGTTCTGTTGATAAAGGTAATAATACGATTGCTCGACTGAAAAGAATGCCTGAATTTAAGACAATGAAGGTTGAGTTAGCAAATTTGTAAACGCTGATAGGTTGTTTAACGGCTGAAACCTTAAACTGCTGTCCAGTGATGTGGTTTATTTTTCGACACTGGACAGATTTTGAGTATCATTGTGTAGTTCACTCATTGCAGCTGGTGCTGCAGCACAAGCAGCTGACTCTGGTCTTTTGTCAGCAGAAACAGTGGATCCTATTATGCTGTTGAATTGATCCCAGTATAAGAATAAAGAAAATGGGCCATGGGATGAGGTTTCAGAGGAACAACTGCAGTTAGTTTGGAAAGGCAGATTTTACATCAAAGCTATGCGATACAGATTGAGATATTTTTCAAATCCCCAAATTGATCAATTATAGCCTTGAGTATTGAGAATTGAATACAGTAGATTTTAAACAAAGCTGCCAGCTTGGAAACCTAATTTATGTGCATCAGAAAATTGAGTGAAAACAGGTCTCAAGTAGATATCATTCATTTGCTTCATGCACTTTATAAGTGAATTTGAATCCTTATCAAAGGTCATGATGATGGTGTATTATTTTGGAAAAAGACTTTACTTGATCATGTGCGTAAACTCAAGTATCTGGTGCCATCTAGCGGCTGCTAATCAGAAACACAGTTGCTTTTTAAATGCAGCGCGCATCCATTCAAAGGCCCTGCAGTCTAAATTCAGGTAATTTGGCAGCTAATTAAATGCTATGATTAGTTGTAATTGGAGTACCGTTAAAGCACGAGTTTACCTTGTCTCATGGGGGAACAAATTAACAGAAGGCGACGATTAGGCCCATCACTTTATTTCCTACTGTTTATTAATTGGTGAAGCCTCCACAGATGTATTGTTTCTTGACTGAATGAGTTTTTGAGTGTTTTCAGTGATTGCCTGGTTGATTCACCTGACAAATGACTGCATGTGCATTTGAGTGAACTAGCTTTACAGGTTCATGTGTGACCCCCCCCCCCCTTGCAAATCATGTCAGAGGTTGCCGAATGTATCTAACACAGTTCGAGAGACTGAGATTGTGTGAGTAAGCATTGCTCACGCTGCAGGATGCCGGTCCCTCTCTGAGCAAATATAATAGGTGTGTTTTTGTCTCTGGCGGTGCTGATGTGTTTCACATGCCTTCTCTCTTCATGCCCGGTCCGGGTGCCAAGAGAGGGGCTTAAACCTGCGTCTGGAGATGGGAGCTGTGGAGATCCCAGGGAGCGGATGCTTGGCACCGTGAAATAGGATTTGGGGAGGACCGAAGCAATGAAGCGAGAGGGAGAGGAGCAACTGCCAAGTCCTCTCTACGGATTTGATGCCCCCCTCCTCACCCCTTAAACATATTCAGCTTGTGCACACACACACACACACACAAACACACACACACATGCTTGCATTGGGCGAGGGAAGGAGAGGGGGATTGTGGATGGAGAGTGAGAGAAAAGAAAAGCAAAGAGGGGAGTACGCTAAGAACAACAATGTTTGAAGCAGTAACATTGTGCAGTCAGAGAGGCAGTGACCTGAACATGTGTTCCTCACCGTAATCAACTTAAACAAGTTGCTAATCCTGCCCGGGCGTTTACCAGGTGCAACGTGCCTGGTAATACTCTGTGCTTATGGTTTCCTGCATGCATGTTGCAGATGATCCCCTATAAGTGACAGGCAGATGTTGAAAAAGAGAGAAATAGAATGAAGGAGGAGGGGCGGGGGAATAGAGGGGCGGGGCTACTCACATGGCTGTCACAGGAGGTGATTGATTTTCCGCCCCCCTGTTATCAAGGCCGGCAGCCACCAGGACCCCTAATACCCTCCTGTCTGACACACGCACACACTATCAGCAGCTCAATACCCAGAAAATAGGCCTATCAAGTGTCATCTGTCTTTTTCTCTCTCTCTCTCTCTCTCTCTCTCTCTCTCTCTCTCTCTCTCTCTCTCTCTCTCTCTCTCTCTCTCTCGGTCAGAACAAATATCTAATCAGCATAGTTGGCTCAGTCTGCACAGAGCAGAAGAGAGCAGAAGAAAGGGAAACATAGTTAGCTCGCTTCTCCTATAGCTGACAAAGCACAAAAAAGCGCAAAAACAAAATCAGATACCAACCAGAGCACAGATGATCGAGGAGCTGAGATGATTCAGAGAAACAAGATGGATGAACGGATGGATGCCTCGGGGCATTTTTTTAAATTTCAGATCACATCTTTCTGTTTATCTCAGTGCTGAATTCCGATAGGAGGAAAGCATCAAACCCCAAAGTTGATAGCTTGTGAGTCATACTGCTGTAAATTATCATCAAGGCGGGAAAAATCAGCATAAAGAAGTGTGATGACCAAGATTTCAAGGCAGAACGCTCTCCTCCCCACACTTCCTCTTTCTGCCGGCCCTTACCTCTCTTTCCTTTTTTTGCCTCTTGTTACCTCTAAAACCCTCTCTTAAATGATTTCTTCTATTTTTTTTCCTTCAATTTTCCACAAAGGACTTGCGCAATTTTGCCATTACTCATATTATTGCTGGTGGCTGCAAACTGAGTCTTGGCTCCATTCCTCAGGGGTAATTGGAAAC